TCTGTCTGTCTGTCTGTCTGTCTGTCTGTCTGTCTGTCTGTCTGTCTAAACAGCACCTTTTATATCGGTGAGTTATTTTGATGGAATGGCCGATGGTCGATATTTAATTTTAAAGCTAACATTGGCCAATACCGATACCATGCCAATAATATCGTGCATCCCTACTTAAAGATGGTCTTGAGACAGCTGATGAAACTTAGTTTCAGTTTCCCTGACTTTTCGTGTAACTTTCTATGACAGATAAAGCCATTCCCATTATGTCACATTCCCCTTCACACAGAAACAAACATAGAAACAGTTGGCGTGCTCGGTCCTGCTTCCTGTTTGCGTCAGCAGGCACCATTTCTGTGAGGAAACCTAATTACCCTGTGCCATGTTCAGAGCACAGATATGAGAAAACCAATTATTTACTCCAGCATTTTTTTTAAATAACCAAAAGCACCGAAGAATATCTTGATATGCATCCCATTGCCGTGTTTAGTCGCTTACAAAAGGGGAAAATTAAATTATTTCTTTATTTATGTGAAAAGAGACACCCAGAAGGGGTAATAGAAATTATACATGAAGCTTCATCACTTTTTAAAGACAAAAAGGCTTCAAGCAAATGCTCTCAAAGGTGGCTCATAAAGTGGCAGAAATTGCTATGCAGGAAACCACTTCTTTGTTAACTCTCTGTAATATTTCCTTTAAATGGCTGAATACGCTGAGATATTAATTGTTACATTCTCTTGCACATATCTCAAACCCTGGGTGAATGCTAATGTTATTTTTATCAATAAACCCCAAGCCATTGCACCGAGAACTTAATGGCTTTTAAATTCAGCATGCATCTTTATGTTTTATTATTATTGTGGGAATTTTTCAGACCGTTTGGATCCTCGTTAATTCAGATCATATCGTTAATCTCTGACAAGTCTGAGAACGAATCCCAAACTTTATCTGGTTCATGAGATATTGGAGATCAGAGGGAACCATTAATCTTTGTCACTTGACGTGTTTTTCCTTTCACACTTCATCATCCTTAATGTGCTTCTATAAGAGCCAGATTTATAAACACTTTGTTAAAATACATCCACCTACACCAAAACACAGTTCAGATGTTGGTGATCTTGTTTGTTTGAGAGCAGGGTGGAGGTAGGAGTTTAAAGTACTTGTGCTACCTTTTGAGAAGCGGCATAAATAGATTTTTACACATTATTACTTCGAAAGTGGTCAATGTTTGAAAGGAGAACCTCGTCTGCTGGCTCACTGAGACGAGGAGGACACCCCTACACACAATCTCGCCTTCGCTCAGCCACATGTGCATGTAGTCACTTTGTCAAAGTCATTTAGCCCAGAGGCAGGGAGAACAGCAGGGAGGGGGTCTCAGCTCTCATAACAGCAGGCCTCAGTGCAGGGGGTGAAGCTAGTGGAGCAAACCACAGTCTGTTTCAGCTGCAACTCAGAGAATGTGCGTTCAGCTGCTGTAACTGTGTATGTAAAAATTAAAGAAAGATTTTTAGGAGTAGCTGCAGATTGGATTAATGAACCTAAAAAGAAAGGTTGAAATGTTACTAGAGCCCGACCAATATGGAAATTTTGGCTATCATCGATACCAATATTGGTAGGAGAAGGCTTTTTTTCATTCAACCTTTATTTATACAGGTTAATCCCATTGAGCCTCAGGCCCTGTACACACGTAGCCTGGTGTTTGAAAAAACGAATATCTGCGCAAAAAAATATCGCCGTACATACATGTTCGGATAGAGAAAATGATCGTCTACATGAACCCGGTGATGTTCACCACAGAGCGTTGTAAAGAATATGCCCAACCCATAGGAGGCAGTGTAGTGCAAAGGTGAAACGTATATCAGCCAATCACAACCCTTCAAAGCAACCACAACTTCCTGTTAGTATTGAATCATGGCGCCTGGAGGTTCGTTTGTGTGGACAGACCGCGAGGTTGAACTACTATTAAATACCGTGTTGGAGTACAAAGTTAATAAAACTCAGGACGCTGAATGGCGGTATTGTGCCTCCGTATCGGTAGGGATAGTTGCTGTAAAAGAGCTGAACACCAAGCGCTTTTTCTCCTTTGTAATTCCATCTGTTGGAGCAGTTGTGCTTGTAAAAACAAGCAAGCAAAAATTGCCTGAACCAGCGTTACAATTAGTACTTCCCTAAACGCAGTCATTTTCCCTCAGAATGAATGGGCAAACAAAAACAATTGTCGCACATGTGACGTCAGCGCCGCGCTGCACCATCTGTCGCAGACATAATGCGCATATCTCCGGTTCCGAAAGTCCACACGCAAACCCGAAAGAGGAGATTTCTCAAATCTCCACTTTGGTCAGAGTTTTTGTTATTATTCGTTTATAGTTACATCAACCGGAGTTCACGTGTGGATGAAAGGCCACACCGCATGATAAACTATTCGGTTTTCCTGATATCCGGCTACGTGTGTACAGGGCCTCAGGGACTCATTTACAAGAAAGACCTGATTTATTTAACAAAGAGTGATGACAACAGTGGATAACAACGACAACAATAGACGATCATAAAAGAGGCATACAAATTATATATATATATATATTAGTTTATTTTATTTTTACAAATTAAAATAAAATGGCAACCAGAAGGCAGTCAAAAGGAAAAAGTAGCAAAAAAAAAACAGCTAGATTATAAGGCGATGTACAAAACTAAAAACAGGAACATGTCTGCATTGGTTCTTGCCAGGAGCTTAAAAGATGTTTGAAGCCACTTAGAGAGGTCAAGGTTGAGAGCTTCAGATCTTTTTGCAAGATATTCCAGGAAACAGGAGCAGGGTAGGAGAAGACCCTTTTGTCAAGTTCAGTCTGCACTGAGGGGACACTGCAGGTAATAATGTCCTGAGAGTGCACGCCGTAGCTGCACTCACGCAGAGAAATGTAGGAGGAGATGTATGAAGGCAGCAGACCAAGAAGTGATTTAAAGATGAAAATACCAGTGAGAGAGTCTGTGTGAAGTTAATGGTGACCAGTTAACCAGTGAATACAGGGTGCAGTGGCGGGTACAATAATCACAGCCAGTTATGAATCTTAGTGCACCATGATAGACAGCATCCAACATCTGCAGGGTTCTTGTAGGAGCGTTCATGTAAATAATGTCACTGTAATCAATGGAGGGAAGGAAAGTCACAGATACAAGGCGTTTCCTAACATTCAAAGTTAGACAGGATCTATTTCTGAAAAAGAAACCCAGTTTAACTTTTAGTTTCTTTACTAGGTTTTCCACGTGGAGCTTAAAAGAGAGATGTGAATTGATCAAGATACCCAAATATTTATAGGAATCAACAAACTCAATAGGAACACCACTTGAGGATAAAATCAGAGGAAGAAATGCTAGGACTGACTTCCTGTTTGAAAAAAGCATCCCTTTGGTTATGTCGACATTTAGGGCAAGTTTGAGACGGAGCAAGTCTGACTGGATGATGTCAAAGGCGAATTACAAAAGCTGGAAAGCCTTAGCAACTGTTTTAGCTCGACAATAAACAACTGTGTCATCAGCATAGAAATGTAAGGATGCGCCAGGGATGCTTTGACCTACATTACCTATGTAGATTATAAAGAGGGTGGGTCCTAAGACTGAACCTTGTGGTACACCATTGTTGACTGTTAAATAACTGGAGGAAGTACCATTATGTTGAACACATTGCTTCCAATCTAAAAGATAGAGAACCAACCAATGGTGTGACACAAGATGTTATGATCCACAGTGTCAAAAGCTTTAGACAGGTCTAAAAAAATGCAGCACAATAATCTTTAGCATCCAGTGCTTCAACAATTAAGAATCTTCAGTGAAGCAGTCGTTGTGCTGTATTATTTCCTGAAACCAGATTGATGGTGAGGTAAGATGTTAAATGACTCCAGATAATTTTTGATTTGAGAGTTTTTCAGTTTTTCTAGAACCTTGGCTAAAATGCAGAGTTTAGAGATTGGTCGATAGTTGTTCAGTGAGGTGGGGTCACCTCCCTTCAGCAAAGGAAGAACAAAGGCTGTTTTCCAAGCATCTGGAATGGAGTTTGGGCTTATGGAGAGATTAAAGATGTGGGTAGGAGAAGGCTAATGCCAATAACCAATATAGGGTACTGGCTGAACTTTTTTGAGCTTTGTCCACCCCAAGAATCTTATTAAACAGCTACTTTTAAACCTGTTTAACACGAAGTCTTCAAACAATCTTCAGTCTTCTTAACGTGAGTTCACAGTTCCTAGCCTCCTCACCATAAAGTTATCAATTGTGTTACAAAAATATAAATTAAACAAAGAAACACCCTTCCCTGTTCATTGTTTAAACAGTTAGTCATGTATGGTGAAGTCCTAGTTAGTATTGACCGCAGTGGCTTTCTTTTTTAAAATTTATTTTACAGATCACTTACAATAAACTTGTCTCTGTTCAGCAAATTATGCCACACAGCAGTGCTCGCTGCTTCGGCTGTGCTGAAAGTGAAAGTGAAAATGAACGGCCATGACTTGAAAGTAGTCTGCATGCGCCCTCTGCTGGATACATTGTACAATTACGCCTTGTGCAAATAAGGACACGGCTTGTTCCCTGTGTTTATATTGCCACATAATGGTACAATTATCACTGATACCAATATGTCCCCAAACACCTATATCGGCCAAAAATAAATAAATAAATAAGCCCTAATGAAATATACATTTTGCATTAACATTCTCCAGGTTTTTATATTTGTATGTGTGTGAACTGTCTGTGTAACCTTTCTGATGTTCCACATGAGGATTTTATCACTAGTAAATCATAGATATCACTTCTTGTGTTTACCGTTAGTGCCTTAAATCTTTGTTTAACAAGACTTTGGAACGACACTGTTAATTTAATTAAAGTACTTTGTGAAATTGAAAGTGATACTAACATTTTGATGTAACTTCATTGTGTTCATCACACAAAAAAAAAAAACAATGGCAGGTTGCTCCTCGTGACATTTCTTCCTGTGTGCTTCATGAACAGGAGGAAAGGGAATCCTTATTTGTCTATGATTAATTTTTTTTAACTTTCTTGACTTGATCAATTTAAAAAAAAAAATCTGAAAAATGTGCTAAGTAAATTTCCAGGAAAAATAAAAAGTAACATAAAAGTTTGAGTACCTCATAGATTTTTTTCTTTCCTTGTTCCTACATAAATATAAAATGAACAATAAAAATCACAGATTGGCAGAAAATGCATTAAACTTGGTAAAGAAATTTTAATCAAACAAACCAAAAAAAAAAAAAAAAAAAACATTTGGATATATATATATATATATATATATATATATATATATATATATATATATATCAGCATTGTATCAGTATTGGCCGATATTAGTGATAAAGTTAAATATCGGCCATCCACCATTCCATCAAAATGACTTACTGATATAATAGGTACAAATCTGCACTGTTCGAGTGTTGTCATTGTGTTAGAGAGAGTAAATTTCATGAATAAATTTGACATTAAACATAATCCAAGTTGAAGTGTTACATCATTTTCAACCCCTTTTTGACATCTACATTTGGTAGCAGTCCAAACTGACAGAGCCCATGCAGAATAATGTAGTATTTTAATTCCACAGCAGAGAAAGCTATGTTGTATCTGTATGTAGGTCTAGGGGAAAAAAATATCTGTATTGGTATCGGTTATCGGCCAAATAAGTTTTAACATATCAGCATATCGGATATCAGCCAAAAATCCAATATTGTGCATCCCTAATATATATATATTATTTCTAATAATAGATATTCTGGTGAGGACCATCTCAGATTAAAACAATGATTTGAACAATATTTCTTCATAACTTGTGATTTGTTCAAGTTTCAGATAATGTGGGTTTATAATGAAATACATTTAGGAAGAAGAACTATTCAAATGTTAAATGATTGTGCTACACAACAAAGCTAAATCATTTTTCAGGCTTTTTGGCTTCAAATCTGCATTACAGGCACCATGAGCTGTTTGGTCCTGCAGCTTTTCAATCAGTTTCCACTTCACCGTCTCGTGTCTCTGCCTCTGGCTGACCAAGCTGTCTGTCCTGACGCTCGGTCATTGTCACTCTTCATCAGCCTTGTAGCTCTTCCTCCTGAGCCGAGTGGCCAGCATCGATTGTCGGTCACCTCTGTCTCGGCCATCACAGGACTCACACACCAACAGTGACTTTAATGAGGTCCCTCTCACAGCGCCGGCCTGACCAGCCGCACCTCATGATGTGCTCGAGCCATTTCTACCACCTCTGCTTTTCTTTTCATCTTTCCCCACAGCACTCCCCTCAGATTGCTTCTGAGTTCCCCCTGCTATGACATGGTGGATGCAGTTCATTGAAGCTGCTCCTCTCATCACCCCCTGATGTTGTTGTGGGAAATGATGATGTATGGCTTCACATGTTCCATCAGACCTTTAGACGTACTTTAACATTGTATTTCTCATTACAGGCCTCTGGAGATTTCCAATGCCTACGTATTTTTTTGTTAGCGTTGTTATTGTTTTTATCACCAAAATATCTTCTGGTCCTTTTCACAGTGTCATCTTTTATTCAGCATCGTTATTTTTCTAAACGCCATTATCTGTGTCATTTTTCCCTGCAGCTCCCTGTACAGCCAGTACATTTTTCTGCCACAGCAACATGTGTATTAACAACACGTTGGTGTGCAACGGGATTCAGAACTGTGTCTATCCATGGGACGAAAACCACTGCAAAGGTGATCCTTTCCACTCTCAATATCTCCATCTGATGTTAACTGGCATGTTTTCATAGCTACTTTTCTGTAGACCTTTTTATTCCATTCTGCCTGACTAATTTTATCGTCTACCCTCTCATCCTCCTTCAGAGAAGCGCTCTAAGGGCCTTTTCCATCAGATCACTAAGACCCACGGGACTGTTATTGGTGTGTCGTCCGGCATAGTTCTTGTTCTTCTTATCATCTCTATTCTTGTCCAGATGAAGCAGCCCAGAAAAAAGGTAATTCAGGTTTTTGTTTCACATTCAGATGGTTATTCAGGGGCAGACAGCAGGACTGCAGTGCAGACCAGTTTATATCAACAGATGTTCTGTAGACGGGGGAGGATAAAAAGTCAATTCTTGTATAAACCAAAACAGTAGTGTAGCTTCAAGTTTTTAATCTTCTGTTAACTACAAAATGTTAATCACCTGTCTTTAACAAGAATTCATGTGTGGCTGAGTGGAAGTTGCTGTAAAACCTGCGAGCGACTTTTGACAAAAAGTGCAGACTGGTGACAGGAAAAGAGCACTTCATATCTGTAATTGTGTTCAGGTGTACAGAAGGTTTTTAATGAGCTCTGTGGGCAACAAATTGTTTTCAGTGCTCATTTTAGAGTAAAACTGCTCTTTTTCTACCAATGACAGATTTTCATTTAGAGTGTTTAAGCTCTTATAAAGCTGCTTTTAAAACATTTTAAAATAATGAAGTACAGCACGACTTGATGAGCATCTGTTAAAGGTTGCAGAAAAATTATCCTTTTATTCATTGGTTCCATCAACATTTAATATACAGTAGTCCCTCAGTGAACATGGGGGGTATGTTCCAGACACTCATGCAATAGATGAAAATCCATGAAGTAGGGATGTTATATTTATTTTAGTATTTACATATATATACATATATATATATATATATATATATATATATATATGTA